AAGTGGCAGTGATGGTCGAGTAGCTCGATCATGCAGCCACATGGATCGCCTTCTTCGTTAGCAATGTTTCGAAGTAACAGTGATTTAATTCGTTATTAATCATTTAATCGGATTTTCTTCTTTTTTTCATCCTAGGAGGGAGGTCATATTTGGGAGGGCGGACCCTCTGATTGAGTATTTGAGTTAATTTAAAGCATATCAACTAAGATCCTGCCACCGCTCGGACTCGATCCTCGCCATCCGACTCTTTCTCGGAAGCCAGAAGTACCTTCATTTCCTTACTTTATAATTAACACGCAGAAGAACCGGGGTTGCACGGGTGAAGATTGTAATGTCTGAGATGTCGACCCAGGCGACCGCCTGGGGGCAGGCAGCGGCTTCGGCGGCCAGCCCTGCCCTGGGGGTCCGAATTTTAAAACACCACCTAGCCTATGACCATCCCCGGGCCAAATGGGGAAGCCGTGCAAAGTTGGATCGGACTGGGATCAGAGGCGTGTTCGTGCATAAAAGACAGACAGACACAAAAACATTCAAACATATAATAGATTGTTATTATTGAATCATCACTGATGCCTTGATTTGGTGAAAGGAATTTCGACGAAGTTTCACAAGTCTGTCGAGAACACGAGTTTGCAAATTTGCAAATATCAACATTTTGGCATAGATAAATTTGCAAAATAACACAAAAGTATATCAAGAAAGACATGCATCTTTTATTCTCGTATGTGCGTCGTGGACCCAAGATCTCATAATCATTCTCTCCAAGGAATTCGAACTCTTGATGCTTCAACGAACAATGATGAAAAACAGCCTGACGGTCGAACGGGCAAGACAGGGATTTCTCGTCTTTGGACTAATCGAAGGGGACTAACATTTCTTAGCTTAAATTTACCTTTCTCCTCTCTCTTGTATTGGTGCAGTTGTAAATGTAATTTTGCGACGTCACAAATTTGATGAGGAAGTGGCTACATTTGCTGCGTCCCACAGCTCTAAGAATAATTTTGAGAGCTATTATAATTATTCTCGCATGAATTTCAAAATAAGCTTAGGCGTCTGAAAAAAATGGGAGGAGGTCCCCCAAGCATTATTCACTCCGTTTACATTATTTAAAATTGCGATGATGAAACTATTAGTGCTCATCATCAATTTTGAAGGTTTATGCTACGTATTGACCAGATGTCTTCATAAGGGGCCTCAACAAAATAATGAACGCAATCAATCACAAATTAATTTTTTGAATAATTAAATTATGTCTGTCCAAGTTAACACATTAAGGACGGACCCCGTGTTTACACGGGTTTTCAGATCCATGCGTCAAGGACGGGACCCGTGTAAACATGGATTTTGCGCATGACGAAGAAACAAGCATCTCTTGGGATCTGTTTCGGGATTTCCGAACTTACTGAACATATGCTCTGATTAGGAAGCTTTACGCTTTGCAGCTTTTAAATTTAAGACAAATCCATTTAGAACTCTAGGAGTTATAGCCTTTTTAGTGCTGCAGTGCCATTTTCAGTACAGTTTGCTTAAAATGCCAGGGAACCAGGGCAACGGTGACACAATTCCGCCCTGTCCTCAATGTGTTAATTAATATACTTCTGCAAACAAATCAGTAGCCAGGCTTTGACATTGTGAGCAAATCCATCAATCCAGCACAGCGGACGTAACCGCGTGATTCAGCGCATCTCTCAGAGCAAATCAAGTCGAGAAGACGTATCAATCTCCTTTATTTCCATTCCCGATGAGCGAAAGTCGAAACAATCAATTCCTGGCATTGACTCCCACGCCGTGGCGCTCCTAGTCGAGAAGGATCGTCCTCGCTCCGACGCAGCCCGGCCGGAAGGACTTGATCGTTTGGATCCCGAAAAGCGAGAGGTCCGCGGCGAAGCCCACGTAGTATCCTTCGTGGATCGCGAAGCAGGTTAGCTCACCGGTGAAGTTTTCACCCCTAACCGATACGAGACGTTTTCAATGGCATGTACGCTTTGAAGAAGGAATAGGAAAATTGTTAACTTACGAGAAGACGGACCAGATGATATCACCCGTGATGATGAGGGAATCCACGCTTGTCATATACCCTGGCAATTCGGGTGTCTCTCCGAATGCAAAGTATTCCAAGCCGGAGAAATAATCGAATTGATACAGATTCATCGTGTTCTCCTTCCAGTTAATCGCGTCCCCCACATACCTGCGGCGACATCCCCGCAACATCAAGACAGCCATGATTCTACCGGGCAGGGGAATGTGGGCTTACCTGAGGGATGAGACTTGGTCGTTGACGTACTGGAGGTTCCAGCATTCGCCATCACCAAATCCCCATTCCACTGTTCCATTGTTCTCGTGGTTGTAGTAATAGTCGCTGTAGAATATCCAACTGAAAGTAGAGAATACGAGCAAATATTTGTTTTTTCTTTGACCAGGCTGTATGAGTTACAGCCACCAATGCCAATTGCGTGGCATCGGAAAGTGTAAATAATTCATATGTCAGCATTCTCTATTCGAAAGGTTGGCAGAACTGACTGCAAAAACGTTTTGCTACAAAGTTTTCTTTTCTAAGGCTCTTTCTTGGTGGAGCGAACCAGTGATGGTCAATTAGTGCCAATGACCACCAAACGGTGCTGCACACCCTTCGCTCATTAAGCTTTGTTCCCGGATTCGTTGCACCCCTTGGAAAGCTTTGCATTTGAGCCTTGGTGTGTCGCCCTTTTCTCACTTCAAAGTCTGAAGGCAAATTGGTTTAACTACACGAGAGTGAGTTTTCAAATTCTGAGACTTTCTTGCGGCCGAGAATCCGAGTTTTTCTTTAGAGAGTGAGAATTTATATCCAACTTTTATAAAATCAATTTTACAAACGTGGATTCATCCTTTGATCAGATGAACGACATGAAAAATGAGAGCAAATCCATCAATATTCCAGAATTAGATGAGAATATGCTTCTTAGTCGGAGATGTCGAAGAAATTCAAGAAAAAGACATTGCTTTCGAGATGAATTTTTACGGAAATGGATTGCATTGCCATTTTGAGAAAATCTACAGGTCGATATTTACTGAATGGCGGTCGCCGGACAAGGAAAGGAAAAGCAGACAGACGGGACGGGACTTCTTGCAGTCACTTTCACGCCAGGAATCGCCCGCCAAGAAAACAGTGGAGAGAGGACTCACACGCCTTGAACGCAAGCGCTGGAGATCATGTCGTCTCCGATGAGGGGGTCGCAATCCCGAAAGTCCGGGCAATACGAGACCCGTTCATTCCAAGTTCCATTTTCACTCAGGTTGACCAGATCGTAGATGGTCGCAACCTGCCGTTCAGCCCAGCTCATCGCCAGGCTCAGCACCAGCAGCACAACGGATCGCTTCATGGCGCTCTTCCCTTCGTCGCTCTTCTGGCTGTGTCTTCCAGGTTTTCCAGTTCTACCAGTCTCGTTTTCTTTATCTGTGAATATTTCCAGGTGACGCGAGGAGAATCCGATATCACTTTCCGACTCTCGGCTTATTTCTTTTTTTCTTACATTCTATAGATGGCGATGGATGCTATGTCTCTGGTTATTACGTACAAGGTACAAATGGATGCAATTCAGCAGACACCATAAGTCGAGCACCATATAAATCGCTTTTATTTGACTGTACCTTTGACTGGAAGGGATCTCCGATTACAAAACACGATTCAGAGTTGCACAATTCAAAGTGGGATACAGATGTGCATGCCAGATATAGCTCAGTAGTTTATCTTATATGTAATATGTGACTCCGATACTTGGGTTAATCTGTCTTCAAATCAAACGGAATTTTCCCTGATGAGGCTTCGATTGACATGAATCGCAATCCTTATTACTCCTCGTAACATTCAAGGGTGAACTGACTTTGAAAGACAGACGAGCTCGATGTAAGGCGTAGGAAGCATTGGTAAAAGAAGGAAATTGTGGGAATTCGGAAAAGTGCCTCTTTTATGAGTCAACTTTTATGAGTCCCACGGTGAAGATAAGAATTTTCTTCGCGTCCTTGGAACCCAGACGGGACTAAATGTCGTAATGTCTACGGGCAATTCAATGAAATGTCCCTTCAGACTCGTCAGTTGAATGTGATGTGTTGAAAATGGACTCATGTCTGTCGTTTCGAAAAGGACTTTCCTTCGCAACGCCGTTGCATGTCATCAGGGCGATATCAATCGTCTTTTCAATGAACACTCCTTAATGACTCTGGCTGTTTCTTGCAGACGAATTCGATTAGTTCCCTTTTCGAATTTTTACAGATGAACTGATCGGCATGCATCGATGCATTTCTGACTTATTTTAAATTTCCCTTCATAGCACCGCTTTTACCAAATGAATTCAAATGGAAATATACGCATATTGTTATGAACGCACCAGCCGAAACACCTGCAAAGTTCTGGAAAGTAACTCCTGCAAGAGCAGAGATAGGTGCCTATCCTTTGGAGCCCTCTCATTTTTGCCTACACTGTAGACGGAGATGAAACGAGTGAATCGGACTTAGAGGAGAGAAATTGAATGCTAGGAGCCTGTGCGAGGAGCCATCAGCTCCTTTCGACACTGTCGTGCTGCAGTTCAAACGGGTATGTAAAAATAAACTTTCTATTGGATGATATATCCCAAAATCATTTTTAGCAAGAGCTGCTAGCGAACATGGCTCGGGATCGAAAATCTCAACCTGGCTGAACTCTACCAGGACTCCAGTCCCTTGTCTGTTTTCATCCTCACTTGCTCTCATGTAATCGCTGGAGGCTTTGCATTTTCTAAAGAATTTTGACGAAATTTATACTTTGTCGTGAGCGTATTAGTCTGAGAAAAATAATTTATTTTGCAAATGATGGCTTCTGTTAGAACAGAGACATGAGTCCTGCGCCTTTTTTTTCGTCGACCAGTCGACGGGAAGTTGACCAGTTCTTATAATTAATCATTTATGTTTAGTATTAACATATTTATTAGGGTGAATCCCATGAAAGTGAGCCATTCCTTCTTGTTCAAAAATTGCCGTGTCTAGAAACCCGCGCATGCGCTAGAAATAATCCTACACTATACCACGGTAAATTCAGATCAGTGGCATACGTTTACATTCAGTGCAGAGCTTCATTACATGTGGTGTAGCTGACACATTGAAAACACGAACGAGTGTTGTCTTGCGTTTTCTTACAGCGGAGGGTATTAATCGATACGAAATTCACCGAGGAATGCAGAGAATTTACAGAGAACTCTGTTTTTTCTTAGAAACGGTTAAACGTTGGTCCGCACGATTTCATGCCGGACGCGGGAGCCTGAGTCACCCCCACCAAGAAAGATCCAATCCAAACCGACAACTGCTCAGGTGATTCCCACCTTGATTTTTGACCATCTGTGGACCGCGACTCATCCTCTTCGCAAACCATGGAGAGATAGTTCATGCCAAACGGTATTGCCAGACACTTGCCATGTTGCGTGAGGCCATGAAAAGAAGTGCCGAGGTCTCCTGACAAATGGAGTGATATTCCTTCACGACAATGCCAAACCACAACTAAGTGACCATTGACACCTCGAACTCGTTCGGCTGGGAGGTGCTGAAACACCCACCATATGGTCCAGACCTCTACCCGTGCGATTTCCACGTGTTTGAGGAGCTGAAGAAGCGCATGAAGGAACGTCACTTTACGTCGGACGCTGCAGCGAAGGATGCCGTTATAAACATTTTGAACCCGTTGCCACAATCGTTCTATGAAACAGGCATCACAAGGCTAGTGATTTCAATGGGACAAATCAGGAGTCAGGAGTCAGGAGAGTTAGTGATATCAAGAGGCGATTTCGCCCAATTACCCTCTACGCCGAGATCCAAATCGTTTATGTAGACCAAAAACAGAAGCGGTCCAAGGACCGAGCCTTGAATGTGGCCTATTTTACCAGCCAGTGATAGCATTTTCTACGAGTTTTGTGGAATTTCCCTCTTACGAATGTCCTTTCAATGTCCTTCCATTCCTCTTTTTTGAATTGGCCTGAATCTTTCCATATAAATTCTTCCATTGAAGGAGATAAAGTGGAAAAAGAAAAATCCTAAGATTTCGGCATTCACGGCTTTTGGACGCTCGTACGTATATTCACGTCCCCTCGCCGGAATGTATTAATGTACGTGAAATGAACTGAGGTTGCGAGTGGCAGCTAAAATGTTTGCAGTGAAATGATTTATCCATCCCGCCTAGCCTTTGACCAAGAGAGACAAAGGCTCGTGGGCCGATCGGTTACTACCATTCCTATTAATATGATCTGAAAGGCATTGTGAGCTTGTCGGCTACCAAGCTTATGTCTTGGATGGGGAAAAGCTTTATAGGCCGGAGGCGACAGCTAACATGGAACTCTTTAGCGCAGGGGTTCTTAACCTGGGGACCAGGGGATCCGTGGAGGGTCCATGAAAATTAAATATGTAATTGAAGGTAAGCTCCTGAAAAGCAATTTAAAATCACAAATCCAGGTGTTCCAGTTTCTGATAACCAGGGGTGGGGGTCTATGGGTAATACTTGAGGATCTGGGGGGTCCGTAGGTGCAAAAAGGTTAAGAACCCCTTCTTTAGCGTATTCTGATATTGTATGGGTGTGGATGGATGGATAGTTCGGGCGAAAAACCAATGCTCGAGTGTCATCCATTGATCGGTTAAGAGCTTCGTGACGTTGATGTGAGGTTCCTGGAGGTCGGGGTAACTCATATCAAGTATCGATGCAGAAGTTGGTCCGTGGGGTATTCTTGGCCATATGGAATTAAACTAAATCATTATCCCCCTTAATTTCATCACCATCTTTATTTTAGAGGGTCAACAACTTTCGGAACAACCTGTACAAGAATTACAAGCCCACGAGAGCCAATGCAGTGGAGAAAAGCACTTCTGGGGTGCCCGATTCCTAGGATGTCAAGGTTACTTGGATCCTCCGAGAAGTCGAAATTACTGGTCAATAGTACTTTATTTCCCAACGTAATTCCGGAAGATGCTTTCAAGAATGCTACCTATTCAACGCAGCCACCAATGAGCTCTATGCATTACTTACACTGTAGCACCGGCTCGTCGAAGCCTGGATGATGTTCTTCCTTGGCCAGGTCCAGGAGCTATGATTGGTAGGCACGGTTAATGGCGTCAGCATCTTCAACTCAAACCGCTGTCCACGACGATCCAAAATTTTTTGGGAAACTTGGAACGTGGTCCAGAGAAAAGAAAAACCAATTTGCAGCACTGAGGTCATTCATTATTCATCGTCCCAAGCTGGCATGATGCGCGATGAAGCGTCTTCCCTGCGGTGCATCGCATCCTCCAACGAATGTGAAGGTCCCAAAGGCAACACGTTCTTCCGAAGAATCCTGAGACATTCTCACGGAAAAGTTCGAGCTATCCAAATGTGCGAACCTTCTGAATAAAAGCTCAGTGGACAATGAAACGACCGGAGTCAGGTTGCACGGCATTACGACGCGAATGCATCCAAGCGAAAGTGATGAAAGGGACGAAAAATTAAAGTCCTTTTGCAGAGCGATATTCATGGAGTGCCTTCTCGATCGGGTGCTGGATCCGCTATTTCCCTCCGGTCGCTGCCAGAGTAACCTTTTTATCCACCTGCTTATGCAATTCGGACTCGAACGTGTCAGTGTCCTCGTCAGCCCCATCGCATTCTCCGTTGGAATCGACATGCCTTCATATTCACACTTTCCGTGAAACACGCTTCATCACTTACTATGAAAAGAGGAGTAAAGTCAGGCGAATGTTTCACCAAGGCTGAGAGATTACGATTTCTCAGCCTCGGTCGAACGAACGTTGCAGATCTCAAGCTTATAACTATGAAGTTTTTTTAATAAAGTAAACTAAGTTGAGAATTTCCTTGACTTTCGTACGGTCTGAGATGCATTGTAATCTGACCTTTCAGTAATGAGTTATTACCGATCAAAGAATGGGCAGGACTTTTGACTCACCCTGTATTAGACTCGGTGCCAAAGAAAACGTGGACATATACGTTACGCCCCATGCACGCACCACCTGTGAACTAAGATTGTAAAAATCGAATTGCGGAGATAAGCCACACTTTTCCCAGTGATAAATTGCAGACTGGGTGGTTAGAATTATGGTTCGTCACTTACTTAGTCATGATTTTATAAATATATTTCCTGAATACATCGTAGTATCTTACCCAGCGTTGTATCTAATGTTTTATTCTTGTCTTTGGAAATAAGAGATAGCTTTTTATGACTTAATTTTAAAACATAAGGATTGGAAGGGCTTCACGACATAATCCCATAATATAATATTGGGTTGGAAAGAAAGTCTTGCAAGACTTTCTGACGAAGCCCTGCAGAACGCCCTCAACGCGAAGCCGAACGACACCACTCGCGAATCGGCGACTACACTTGGAGTCACAAATATGGCCATCGGCAACCATCTGAACGACTTCGGCTA